ACCAGCTTGTTTTGCTGTTGCCTAGAGCCGGCCCTGGGAAGGACGGAGGTACAGACTGTGCAGGCGCAGTGAAGCCTCGGGGTTATGCTGGCCCCTGCACTGCATCTGCACTGACACGGGGGGAGCAATGCCTTCCTGTACCTTCCGCTCAGCAGGCTGCTGCAGCCGGTCCTCTCAGACAAGGAGCTGGCCCAGGGATGGACTCATTAGATGTTGCACCCACAACTGTTGCTGTCCTAGGGGTCTTTTTAACAGTTTCACTCTTAAATTCTGAATAACCACACAAACTGGGACCCCTTCTGCTTCATCAACTAGCGTGTGCAGAACAACTGCAAGTTACAATACCAGCATGGTTTCTTAACCCTTTTCTTGAATGATGGGAAATTACAACCTGAACATTCTCGGCTACTTAAACAACATTTTTTTTTGTCTTCAAGCACAGACAGAAGAGGAGACAAGGGATGGAAGGGAACTCCTTTCTGTGCTGGTGGTAGGTAGATGCTGGCAGCTTCAGACTGACATTTTGGCTTTTTCCTCTAGTAAGCAGAGTTTCTGGTCCATCTGGGGTCAGGTTGGAAGTGCTAGATTGGAGATGCAGTCCCACTGTCTGGGTAAAGTTTCCCCCTTGGAGATAGCATCATCTGAGAACTGATAATCTAGACCTAGGCCTGGCCTATTGGTGGTGCCTATTGACTCTCACTGCTGCCCTGCCCTGAGAGTCATTAGGCACCATAGCTTGGAGCAGAAAGGAAAGGAAAGGACAGACCCAAACCAGACAAAGACCCTTTGGGGTTACCCTGAGTTTTATACTGACAGCTCATGGAAGGTTCCTAGATCTTCACAGTCAATGTTCCATGAGCTTTCCGGTACTGTCTAACCCCAACAAACTTAACCCAGAAACAAAGAAACCTGGAGCAATTTCACACCACTGCCTGCCTAACCCATCCTCAAACATAGAGGTACAACCCACACTCATGCTGCCCTCTGGCCCCTGTAGTAGTTAGTCTATGGATAGTCACAAAGCAGCTAAGGCTCTGCCTTGTGCTCCTAGATGCGGTGCTCCCAGGTTGAATCCCCACAGATGATGCAATCATGCAGGGTGGCCCCTAGTCATCAGTTCATGCCATTTGGCCTATCTTCCCCCAAACAGATCAACCGTTCATCTAATACAAGCAATAAATTACTCCATATCTTTTAATTATTTGTTTCTGGTTTTGTCAAGGGCATGTGTTTTTGCAGCCAAAATGAAAAAATGCTTCTTTTGCCTCTGCAGGCACAAAACTTCTAACCAGATGTCTGTCTGTCTTTAACTTCAGACATATCAGGATGTTCCTAGCACTGGCCCATGGGAACTTGGGGGCTTTGGGCCCTGAAATAACTTGTGTCAATTTTCTAATCTCAGATCAGTAGTTATACTGGATTTAAAATCCCAAAAGAAAATACTTGTGTTATCAAAGTATATGTTTTTATATTCATTGTAACCCCTTATAATTATGAATGGAGAAAACACTTATAATATAGCTACAACTCAAATTATTAAAATTAAAATCAATGCAAACAGGAACATTTCTATAGTTTAAAATTCTTATAGGTGTAGAGAAAGTTCAAAAATTCAATAAAGACAAGTGCGACACTCTGTAACTCTGAGTAGCACCTTGGAATCCATATTCACCACTGTAATATAATTATGATATGTTTTGTACACAACATGCCTTGTGAGGTATCATTTTAAAAGTCTTGATCTGTTGAACATTAATATCCTGTTGGATTGTATGTGCTATCATTGTATGTGAAGTTATGAAGTATTGCTATACAGTAACTCCTCATTTAACATTGTCCCACTTAACCTTGTTTCAATGTTACATCCCTGCTCAATCAGGGAACATGCTCGTTTAAAGTTATGCAATGCTCCCGTATAATGTCGTTTGGCTGCCT